GCAGGAGAGGAAGGCCCTCTATGAGGTGGATTGATTCAGTGACCGGGATAATTGGGATGGGAGTGTCAGAAACAGTGCGACTGGCACAGGACAGAGCGGAGTTTAGGGCTGTTGTACATAGGGTCGCTATGAGTCACAGGCGACTCAACGGCACATAACAACAAACAATAACAAGCACAAAGCAGCCCAGGGCCTGAGTTTACCCGCTTTTCTTCAGCCTTGTCAGGGAAGCAAAGAGTCAAAAGGAAGGGCGTGCAACTGTGCACCGGCCACAGCCCCACCACCTCAGCCACAGGGGGCTGGGAGTCCAGGGGGCGGCTGGACCACGGCGCTGACTCCTCTCGGTTCCTGGATAATCTCTGAGCTGAGGTGTGGTGGGGTGTCACTCAGGCTAAGGCTAATCCATCATCCCAGTTCCTGCCCCAGAGCATCTCAGGCGCACGCGCGTGCCCCTGTGGACGTGACCGAGGCCTGCTCATCCACATCTAGTCAGAGAGGATCTGGGGGGCCCACGCAGACTGAAGTCGAACAGGAGCCAAATTGGATGTGGGGCGGTAGGTAGCTGAAGGGTCAACAGGGACAGATGCTCCCGCAGCTCCCACTCAGTCGGCACCGGCTGAGCAGGGGAAGGAGAGGTGGCCAACCTCCCGCCTCCAGTGGGCGGAGCCCATGAACTCATCCCGATCCCGATCCCCAGGACTAGGTGAGGGGGCACAGAGAGTAAAGGCCTGAAGAACTAGTCACAGGCTTGCAAAACCAACAACAACAACAAAACCTGCACAAAAGAGGGATGGTTCCAAGAACTCTCGCCGCTCCCGGAGATGATTGAGCCCTGCCTGGAACGCCGGGTTCGAATGACAGCTATTGCTAGGACTAAATTGTGTGGGAACCACTGGAGAGGCGAGAGTGTCTCGGGGCGGAGGCGTGCAGGAAGCTTATCGGGGCTGGAGGAGCCCTGTACCCCCGCATCCGCTCGCAACTACCTCCCCAAAGAGCCTGATCCAGCCCCGCCACTCGCCAGGACGCAGGCGCTTAGGCGGCTGCAGTATGTGGGTCCCCAAGTCCCCATCACTAGCGACAGCAGCAGGGTGTCAGGGTCCGGGGACCTCATTCTCTCGGCAGGAGCGGGGTCTTGGGGTCACAAAGCTGCAGGTCCCCACCATGAGCCTGGGGGTGTCAGAGCGTCACGCTCAATGGCAATGGGTGTATCGGGATCCTACCTGGCGAGCTGGCGTGAGCGTCCCGTCCACATCAAACAGGCAGAGGACACGCTCCTTCCTGCGGGCGCCCTCGGCGGTGACCGCCATGGCTGCAGCTTGGCCCCGCCGGGAGGAGTCGGTGCGGCAGCCACCCGAGCCCGCAGGGAAGGAAAGGCGGGATGCGGTCTGGAGGTGGAGCTATATAGGAACGGAGGACAGAAGCCTGGCTCTGACTGGGTCACACGACCAAGGGGCGTGGCCAAGGCGATATCGAGCGAGGGGTAGGGTGGGGCGGGGCAAATGACTAGGAATAATGATTCTGATTGTACTAGGCGGAAAAGGGGTGGGGCAGAGCCCTCGAGGTTTAGTTGGATTGGTCCGCACCAGCTGGGGGCGGGGTCTTGGCTCTTCGCCCAGGGAAAAGGGAGAGCATGGACCCGGAAAAAGGGGGCGGGCCAGAGTGAGGGATGACTCGATCGCACGGGACTGAGAAGGGGCTGGACTCCACTGGGGCCCCAAATCCTCCGTGTGAGGCGGGCAGGGCCGGGGCGGGACTAAGAAAGTCTGGACCGCCCTGACTGTCCCTGCCGGTGTTAATAGCTCCATGATTCATCCACTTCTGATTTGCTCTCTGCCCTGTTGTTAGGTGCCGGTCAACTAAATCGACTCCAGTTCCATACACTGTGTACAACAACGAAACTCTGTCCAATCTCGCATCATCCTCACAAATATTCCTGTGTTTAAACCCATTGTTGCAACCACTGCGTCAAACCATCTCAGAGATGAGAGCCTTCCTCTTTTCGATGACGCTCTGCTTTACCAAGTATTCTGTTCTGCAGAGTTCTGGCCCATGCTGAGAACATATCCAAAGTATGTGAAATCAAGTCTCACTATCCTCAGTTCTAAGGAGCATTGTAGCTCTACGTCTTTCAGAAAAACATACTGGTTAATTGTAGTCCTTGGTATAGTCAATATTCTTTGCCAAGACCACAGTTCAAGTTCAAATGCGTCAATTTTTCTAAGATCTTTTCTCCACCTTTCCCATGCATATGTTTTTAGGTGCCATCGAGTTGAGTGCAACTCATAATAACTCTATGGAGAGATCGAACCATGCCTTATCCTGTGTGGGCGTCATAATTTCTGACATACTTGAGCCCTTTGCTGCAGTCACTGTATCAGTTCACCTGGTTGAGGATCTTCCTCTCCTTCACTAACTTTCAACCTTTCCAAGCATGATGTCTCTCCAGGGAATAACCTCTCCTAACAACACATC